GGGATCATGGGGCCCCTGTGTCCTTGCCCAAACTCAAAAAAGCCTATGAAAAAGGTATCAGGGGCATCTCATGGGGCCCCCTACTGACCCTGGGCCCTCGGGCAGTGCCTGAGTTTCCAAATGGTCAGTCCACCCCTGGTTACTGCAAGGACCACTAAGTGAAAATGAATGAAAAAAAAAAAAATTGTCTTGAGTTTAGCTGTTGATGGTTACATGTTTTTTTTTTAAATAGAGGAGGTTATTGGTGGGTAGGGGTGTTAAAAAGAACCTAAACTGTTGAAGCCTTGCCCAAAAAGTCAAAGGATTAGTCATCCATATTTACTGTACTGTACTGTACTGTACACTGCTCAAAAAAATTAAAGGAACACTTTTTAATCAGAGTATAGCATCAAGTCAATGAAACTCCTGGGATATGGATCTGGTCAGTTAAGTAGCAGAGGGGGTTGTTCATCAGTTTTAGCTGCTTTGGTGGTAACCACTTGACCTCCAAAGGATTTACCCCCCTTCCTGCCCAGGCCACTTTTTACGATACGGAGCTGTGTTACTTTAACTGACAATTGCGCAGTCATGCAACACTGCACCCAAATAAAATGTATGTCCTTTTTTCCCCACAAATAGAGCTTTCTTTCGGTGTTATTTGATCACCTCTGCATTGTTGATTTTTTGCTATAAAATATATCCAATAAAAAATTTAAAAAAAATCTAATTTCTTCATAAATTGAGGCCAAAATGTATTCTGCTCTATGTATTTGCTAAAAAAAAATCCCAATACGTGTAAATTAATTTGTTTATGTGAAAGCTATAGCATCTACAAATGGTGGTATATATACTGGAATTTTAATTTGTTTTATACTAGTAATGGCGGCAATCAGCAGCTTATAGCAGGACTGTGGGACTGTGGCGGGCAATCTGACACTGGGGGGGGACTGACTAACTGCCAATGACATCCACAGTGATATTAATAAAGTGATCAGTACTAATAAAAAGCACCGACACTGAACTAATGACACTGGGCAGGACGGGGTTAACATCTGGGATGATCAAATGGTTAACTGTGTGCTGTTTTATTATGTGTGCTGTGTGTTGTTTTTTTACTACCGAGACAAGCTGTGCAGAGAAATACAAAGCAGCATGTCCTTGCTGACAGGAGAGAGACCTGTGTTGTTTACACACAGGTCTCTCCCCTGATAGCTTTCCCCGACGATCGCGAGTGCTGGGACCCAGTGATTGACATCCCTAGCCACCAATATTGGCATGGGTAGGAAATGCAACCCGGAAATGCAAATCACAGATATATATATATATATATATATATATATATATATACAGTGGGGATCGAAAGTTTGGGCACCCCAGCTAAGAATTTGTATTAATGTGCATAAAGAAGCCAAGGAAAGATGGAAAAATCTCCAAAAGGCATCAAATTACAGATTAGACATTCTTATAATATGTCAACAAAAGTTAGATTTTATTTCCATCATTTACACTTTCAAAATAACAGAAAACAAAAAAATGGCGTCTGCAAAAGTTTGGGCACCCTGCAGAGTTAATATCTTGTACTGCCCCCTTTGGCAAGTATCACAGCTTGTAAACGCTTTTTGTAGCCAGCCAAGAGTCTTTCAATTCTTGTTTGAGGTATCTTTGCCCATTCTTCCTTACAAAAGTCTTCCAGTTCTTTGAGATTTCTGGGCTGTCTGTCACGCACTGCTCTTTTAAGGTCTATCCATAGATATTCAATTATGTTGAGGTCAGGAGATTGTGAAGGCCATGGCAAAACCTTCAGTTTACGCCTCTTAATGTAATCCCCCGTGGATTTCGAGGTGTGTTTAGGATCATTATCCATTTGTAGAAGCCATCCTCTCTTTAACTTCAGCTTTTTCACAGATGGCATCAAGTTACCATCCAAAATTTGCTGAAATTTGATTGAATCCATTTTTCCTTCTACTCGTGAGATGTTCCCTGTGCCACTGTCTGCAACACAACCCCAAAGCATGATTGATCCAACCCCATGCTTAACAGTTGGACAGAGGTTCTTTTCATTAAATTCTGTGCCCCTTCTTCTCCAAACGTACCTTTGCTCATTCCGGCCAAAAAGTTCAATTTTAACCTCATCGGTCCACAGAATTGTTTCCAAAATGCATCAGGCTTGTCTATATGTTCATTTGCAGAGTTCAAACGATGATTTTTGTGGTGAGGACGTAGAAGAGGTTTTCTTCTGATGACTCTTCCATGAAGACCATATTTGTACAAGTATCTCTTTATAATGGAATAGTGTACCACAACTCCAGTGTCTGACAGATCTTTCTGGAGGGATCGTGCAGTCAAATGTGGGTTTTGAATTGTTTTTCTCACAATCCTGTGAGCTGTTCTGTCTGATATTTTTCTTGGTCTTCCAGATCTTGCTTTAACTTCCACTGTTCCTGATGACTGCCATTTCTTAATTACATTCTGAACAGAGGATATTGACATCTGAAAACGCTTTGCTATCTTCTTATAGCCTTCTCCAGCTTTGTGAGCATCAACTATTTTCAGTTTCAGTTTTCTAGACAACTGCTTAGAAGAACCCATGGTGCTGATTGTTGGGGCAAGGTCAGATGAGTCTGGGCATTTAAAACCTTTGAGATTGACATCACCTGGTCTTCCCAGACGATGATTGAGAACAATCCATGACACTGGCAGGTCTCAGCTTTGCAAAGGGGGCAGTGCATGCTATAAATTCTGCAGGGTGCCCAAACTTTTGCAGACGCCATTTTTTTGTTTTCTGTTATTTTGAAAGTGTAAATGATGGAAATAAAATCTAACTTTTGTTGACATATTATAAGAATGTCTAATCTGTAATTTAAAGCATTTTGGAGATTTTTCCATCTTTCCTTGGCTTCTTTATGCAAATTACTACAAATTTTTAGCTGGGGTGCCCAAACTTTCGATCCCCACTGTATATATGATTTTGCGCAGCCCTGCTGCCCTGTAGCACTGTAGTACTTCTGCTATAGGGTGGGAGACAAGCGGTTATCGAAATTAACCACAGGTGCATTAGAAGGGCAACAGTGAGACAACCCCCAAAACAGGAATGGTTTTACAGGTGGAGGTCATTGACATTTTTTTCCCTACTCATCTTGTCTGACTGTTTTTTACTAGCTTTGCATTTGGCTAGGGTCAGTGTCACTACTGGTAGCATGAGGAGATACCTGGACCCTACAGAGGTTGCACAGGCAGTCCAACTACTCCAGGATGGCACATCAATACCTGCCATTGCCAGAAAGTTTTCTGTGTCTCCCAGCACAGTCTCAAGAGTATGGAGGAGATTCCAGGAGACAGGCAGTTACTTTAGGAGAGCTGGACAGGGCCGTAGAAGGTCCTTAACCCATCAGTATGACCGGTATCTGCTCCTTTGTGCAAGGAGGAACAGGATGAACACTGCCAGAGCCCTACAAAATGACCTCCAGCAGGCCACTAGTGTGAATGTCTGACCAAACAATCAGAAACAGACTTCATGAGGGTGGCCTGAGGGCCCGACGTCCTCTAGTGGGCCCTGTGCTCACTGCGAGGCACCATAGAGCTAAATTAGCATTTGCCATTGAACACCAGAATTGGCAGGTCCACCACTGACGCCCTGTTCTTTTCACAGATGAGAGCAGGTTCACCCTGAGCACATGTGACAGATGTGAAAGGGTCTGGAGAAGCCGTGGAGAACATTCTGCTGCCTGTAACATGGTTCAGCATGACCGTTTTGGTGGTGGGTCAGTGATGGTCTGGGGAGGCATATCCATGGAGAGATGCACAGACCTCTACAGGCTAGACAATGGCACCCTGTCTGCCATTAGGTATTGGGATGCAATTTGTGGAACCATTGCTGGTGCAGTAGGCTCTGGGTTCCTTCTGGTGCACGACAATACTCGGCCTCATGTGGCCAGAGTATGCAGACAGTTGCTGGAGCATGAAAGAATTGATACCATTGTATGGTCCCCACGCTCACCTGACCTAAATCCAATAGAACACCTCTGGGATATCATGTTTCGGTCCATCCGACGACGCCAAGTTGCACCTTAGACTGTCCAGGAGCCCAGTGATGTCCTGGTCCAGATCTGGGAGGAAATACCCCAGGACACCATCCGTGGTCTCATTAGGAGCCTCCCCCGACGTTGTTAGGCATGCATACAAGCACGTGGGGGCCATACAATCTACTGAGGACCATTTTGAGTTGCTGCAATGACATCTCAGCGAAATGGACTCGCCTGCTGCATCATCATTTTTTCACTTTGATGTTCGGGGTGTCTTTGAATTCAGTCCTCTGTAGGTCGATCATTTTCATTTCCATCAAACCATGGGGCATCCTTACGTTCCAAACACATTACCCCGTCCAAATCAGTATAGAAATCCAGCAGGAGATTTTTCCCCATTAAGATCTGATGTGTTTTTCATAGTGTTCCTTTCATTTTTTTTGAGCAGTGTATTTTATAGCAGAAAGTAAAAAATATATATTTTTTCAAAATGTTCAGTCTTTGTTCGTTTATATAATATACAATTAAAAAAAACACAGTGGTGATCAAATACCACCAAAAGAAAGCTATCTTTATGTGAAAAAAATGCTATAAATTTCATTTGGGTGCAGTTTTGAATGACCGTGCAATTGCCAGTTAAAGTAGTATAGTAAATAGCACAAAATGGCCAAGTCATGAATCAAAACTTGCCTGGTCATGAAGGAGGTAAAATATAGATAGATAGATAGATAGATAGATAGATAGATAGATAGATAGATAGATAGATAGATAGATAGATAGATAGATAGATAGATAGATAGATAGATAGATAGATATGAGATAGATAGATAGATAGATAGATAGATAGATAGATAGATATGATAGATAGATAGATAGATAGATAGATAGATAGATAGATAGATAGATAGATAGAGATAGATAGATAGATAGATAGATAGATAGATAGATAGATAGATAGATAGATAGATGTAGATGGATAGCAGGGTGGACTGACAACTCATGGGGCCCCCCGGGCAATAGGGGATCATGGGGCCCCTGTGTCCTTGCCCACACTCAAACCACACTCAAAAAAGCCTATGAAAAGGTACCCAGGGGCATTTCATGGGGCCCCATACTGACCCCGGGCCCTCGGGCAGTGCTAGAGTTCTCAAATGGTCAGTCCGCCCCTGACGGATAGATAGATAGATAGATGATAGATAGATAGATAGATATGAGATAGATAGATAGATAGATAGATAGATAGATATGAGATAGATAGATAGATAGATAGATAGATAGATAGATAGATAGATAGATATGAGATAGATAGATAGATAGATAGATAGATAGATAATAGATAGATAAATAGATAGATAGATAGATAGATAGATAGATAGATATGAGATAGATAGATAGATAGATAGATAGATAGATAGATAATAGATAGATAGATAGATAGATAGATAGATAGATAGATAGATAGATATGAGATAGTTAGATAGATAGATAGATAGATAGATAGACAGACAGACAGACAGACAGACAGACAGACAGATAGATAGATAGATAGATAGATAGATAGATAGATATGAGATAGATAGATAGATAGATAGATAGATAGATAGATAGATAGATAGATAGATTAGATATGAGATAGATAGATAGATAGATAGATAGATAGATAGATAGATAGATATGATAGATAGATAGATAGATAGATAGATAGATAGATTAGATATGAGATAGATAGATAGATAGATAGATAGATAGATAGATAGATAGATTAGATATGAGATAGATAGATAGATAGATAGATAGATAGATAGATAGATAGATAGATAGATGGATGGATGGATAGATAGATAGATAGATAGATAGATAGATAGATAGATAGATAGATAGATATGAGATAGATAGATAGATAGATAGATAGATAGATAGATAGATAGATAGATATAGATTAGATAACAGACCACATTTCTCCAAATTATACACACAAATAAAAAAATAATTACTTTTAAAAGCCAGTTTAAGACTAAACACAACAAAAAAAAAAGTGTCAGAAGCTCAATTAATATTACAATAACCCAGATGGTTCACACAAGAATAGATAATACACAATACACATCACAATACAAAGTTCCCCCTGAACATAACCCTTCTACCATCTCATGCCAATGATTATTTGAAATATCGGTACTTAGTCACTTAGCATAGAAGAAAACTGCATCTAGTGATTTTCTTGGATTATCATAGAAAATGTCAAACATCTGTAGCTCACTAGAACATATAAAAGATGTTCTCCTTCCTTCTTCCCCTGTGATGGTTCTGCCAGTTAGTGAAGGGCTCTTGGATCCCTGTTACCTTTCTTGAGACTTCCAGCTTCTGTCACTTCTCCCTAGAGATCTTGTCTAAGAAGATTATCACCAACCTGTTGTAGAGGGCAATTAACACACCAGATCATATGGTTTTATTACAGTATTAAAGCCGGCCTTAGGTATTGGGGGATGGTTGAATGTTTTGGCATGAACCTTTAGATTCAACTGTCCTATAAACAAGGATTAAAGCATCAAAATGCTAGCAGTCTGATTACGTCCGTATTTCTGTGCTCAAAGCGGTACCATTATTTTGCATGGAAATATGTATTTTTTTTATTGTAGGCCTGTAATTTTTAGGAATAACTCACTGAAATCTGTCTGAACAAGAGTCTAGTAAACATCCCGGGTATGTTACAATTTGAAACACAAAATCATAAATTATAATTTAATAAATAATCATAAAAAATAATAATATAATAATAATACATTTAATTCAATAATATAATCAAACCAAAAACACTGAAATTTGAAATATAGCGCCAAGTTCGCACATCGCTGAGCAAAGTCGCAGAATCGTTTTCAGTGTCTGATGAGGAATTTCCCCCACGAATCATTATCACTCAATTCTGCAAGTGGTTCTGATTTACTATCGCTGTTCTCTAGCCGGTCTAAAACCGTTTTTGACCTAAAGGGATGCTTTTTGGACGTCATGGACATTTCTCAGTTTCCAGGCAGAAAGAACAGTAAAAATGCAGGCAGGGCGCCGGACAAAGCACTCAGGAAAAAATGTATGTGGAATGGTTTGATACAGGAATGTAATACTATCAGATTTTAGTGTATTATGTGTTTGTAAAATTTTTATGTTTTTGAAATTCCCGCCGGTTCCGCGGAAGACGGATGCCAGCATTGGCCGGAGGACATGGCTGGGGACGCTGCAGGGGGGGAGATCGTGGGACCGCAGGACAAGGTAAGTGATACAGGGATCCCAGAGCAATGTTGCAAGGTAATCCCGAGTGTAGCTCGGCGTTATCCCTTCTGGTACTGAAAGTTAACCCCGAGCTACACTCGAGAATACCGCCAGGGGGGTTAGAAGACCTTCAGCTGCATCTCCCTTCCTCATATACTGTAATGCCACTTTAACATCTCTACCTCAGCAATTTGACAATTCACATTTTCACCCATGTCAATCGAAGGGATAACATCAGACTTTCTGAGACCAATGATGGGATTATGTAACTAGAATGGGAGGATTCCCTAATTTTCACACCTCCCATCCCATTCTTGGCCAATCAACATGCTATGGCACATTCCATAATGATAGGATTATGGTGTCCATGCTACCTGTGTAGATATACATTCTGGGGTATGTTCCTGACACTTACTAGAACTGATGAAGTGTCTTGGATGAGCTACAAAACATTGTCAGAGTTACAGAACAAGACCAGTTGAATGTGATTAACAACTACTAGGTATACATAAAAAAGGTCAAGGCATGATCAACCTTTAATTACTGCAATTTTAGGCAAGGACAGCAGTGCAGGGTATAGTGTGTGCTTTTTTTGCAACCAGTTCAGCACCATTTTTGCTTGTTCAACAGTTTTATTGAAAAGTTTCAAGACCAAGCAATACTTAAAAATGTCAAATGTACCTGGTGTACAATGAATAGAAGAGGAGGTATGTCCCATAGAAATCAGTATATAAGTACAATGTTAAAGTGTTACTAAGCCCAGGACCCTGCATTCACTATGTCCGGTCTCCCCGGACCCTGCATTCACTATATCCGGTCTCCCCGGACCCTGCATTCACTATATCTGGTCTCCCCGGACCCCATATTCACTATATCTGGTCTCCCCGGACCCTGCATTCACTATATCACTGCATTCACTATGTCCGGTCTCCCCGGACCCTGCATTCACTATGTCCGGTCTCCCCGGACCCTGCCTTCACTATATCCGGTCTCCCCGGACCCTGCATTCACTATATCTGGTCTCCCTGGACCCTGCAATCACTATATCCGTTCTCCCCCGGACCCTGCATTCACTATATCCGGTCTCCCCGGACCCTGCATTCACTATATCTGGTCTCCCCGGACCCCATATTCACTATATCTGGTCTCCCCGGACCCTGCATTCACTATATCCGGTCTCCCCGGACCCTGCATTCACTATATCCGGTCTCCCCCGGACCCTGCATTCACTATATCTGGTCTCCCCGGATCCTGCATATTCACTATATCTGGTCTCCTCATACCCTGCATTCACTATATCTGGTCTCCCCAGGCCCTGCATTCACTATATCCGCTCTCCCCAGACTCTGCATTCACTATATCCTCTCTCCCTAGAACCTGCATTCACTATATCTGGTCTCCCCGGGACCCTGCATTCACTATATCTGGTCTCCCCCGGACCCTGCATTCACTATATCTGGTCTCCCTGGACCCTGCATTCACTATATCCGGTCTCCCCGGACCCTGCATTCACTATATCTGGTCTCCCCGGACCCTGCATTCACTATATCTGGTCTCCCCCCCGGACCCTGCATTCACTATATTCGGTCTCCCCTGGACCCTGAAATCACTATATCTGGTCTCCCTGGACCCTGCATTCACTATATCTGGTCTCCCTGGACCCTGCATTCACTATATCTGCTCTCCCCGGACCCTGCATTCACTATATCTGGTCTCCCCGGACCCTGCATTCACTATATCCGGTCTCCCCGGACCCTGCATTCACTATATCTGCTCTCCCACAGTACACAGAACATGGAAATGCAACTATTTTAGTAAATATAAACTGCTAAATACTTTTTCTCATCAGCAGTTAGAGCAGTTTTGTGACTTCTATCAGTGTCCAGCACAGCGCTGGTTACAGTTTGTAGGAGGAGTTTTCATTCTCCTGTAGAAGTATGCTGGACCCCTGATCTCTATCTGGACAGTGCTGATTGGCCCTGTGTTGATCACATGCACTCTCCCAAGAAAAAAAAAAACTCTCTAGCAATACACACCAAACTGAGCATGTGCAGCTTTCCCCCAAGCCTCTGTTCTCTCAGGAGATATTTAGGAGACACTGGAAGAAGGGAGGATCAGAGAAGAGAGGATCAAACATCCTTTTTACACAATGCAGAGGATTAACCCCTTAGGTTCCACAGTGTGTATAACAAGCATGCTTTACTGCATATACAGACTGATCGTACTGTTGGGGGTTTAGTAACACTTCGAATGTTGTTAGGTCCAAGTAAGGTGGAGAATAAGCTTTATAATGAAAAAGATTTAATACAAGAATAAAAATGGGACCTGAGGTTCTCTTGGTGCAAAGAACATACAAACAGTTCTGTAATGATGTGAGCCACCTCCCTTTGAGTGGTGGAAGGAAATAAGTAGAGATCAGTGGTAATGGATGTCCAAAAAAGTTATGAACACCAAGTTTGTGGGTAATGAAGAACCAGAGAAGGGGGAAAAGGGCAGAAGGAGGGGGGAGGGGATTCCCAGGGAGTAGCGCTGTTCTCAATGTAATCAGGATGTAGTAAAGGAATAGATGAGCTATTAAGGAGGTAATAGGGATTAATATTATTATACCGAATTTATATAGCACCAATGGTATGTGGTATGTGCACCAGGGGCGGACTGAAAACTCATGGGGCCCCCGGGCAATAGGAGATCATGGGGCCCCTGTGTCCTTTCCCACACTCAAAGCACACCCAAAAAAGCCTATAAAAGGTACCAGGGGCATTTCATGGGGCCCCATACTGACCTCGGGCAGTGCCCGAGTGTTTGAATGGTCAGTCCGCCCCTGTGCAGTGCTTTACAATCTAAAGGGAGACAATACAATACAAGAAGGTTAAGTGGGCTCTGCTCACAAGAGCTTACAATCTAATAGGGTGGGGCAAGTGGTACAAAAGGGGATGGGCTGTGGGGGGTGAGCTGATTGAAGAGATAAAAGTTCATTTAGTTGGAAGCAAAATAGGCTTCCCTGAAGAGATGAGTTTTCAGGGATCTCCCAAAGGTGGACAGAGTAGGAGATAGCCTGACAGATTGAGATAGAGAGTTCCAAGGATGATGTACGTGTGATACGAAACGCGCGTCAAGGAGGAGCCTCTGCTAGCCGTGACGCTAAGCCGCCGGATCAAGGGGGTCCGGCGGCCACTCTTCTATACCAGCTGGTCAGTGTGTCATTCATGATATCCTTAGTGCACAAGGATTGATTTTATTCTCATACTCATGTTAAGTGTTTTTTTTTTTAATATAAATAAATCCTTTTAAATTTGACACAACTACTACACTATGGGTATTCCTTTTTGCTCCACATCGAGCATTTAATTCCTCAGGACCACCAGGTGATTATCCCAAGGCCCAGAGAAAAATTTGGTTGACCCTGTTTTGGAGCCTGTCTGCCAGAGGGAATCCCCGGATGTGTTACCTTTCATCATAGAACCACCTATTCAGAGCTTCCCTTCATCTACAGTCGGAGTGACCTTTGGTGTATGAGACACAAACGCACAATTTAAATTGTGCTTCCGGTGAGTGCGCAATTTAATTATTTCTTCTGCACATCGCCGGACTACATGCATCATAAGGATTTCATTGAAATACACTCATCTATGTTTTTTTGATGACTGGACTATACTGTGCATTTATATTTGTGCGTTTTTGTATTGTGAAGTGAAGTTATGTGAAGCTCACGTTTTTTCAACTCTTGGGAAGATCACATACAGTGTGTTTGGTCACACATATGTATGTGGTCCACACCTGTTGACATTTAAGCAAGGGATATTGCACCATCTTTAATATTGGTACAGTCATATAACATCTAGCGCTGCACTATTTATCTTATATTGTTTGTTTGAAGGTTGATGGTTTTTCCTTTTTAGTGTATCAGCTGCTGTGTTGGTTAGCGCTCACTGAATCCCTCATTACCAGAGTAGGAGATAGCCTGACAGATTGAGATAGAGAGTTCCAAGGATGGAAGAGGTTCTGGAAAAGTCCTGGAGATGAGAATGGGAGAAGAAGACAAGAGAGCATGAGGGCAGGAGATCTTGGGAGGAGGGGAGAGGACAATTTTGGTGATATTTGGAGACAATATTGGTGTACTTTGGGGTAGAGTTGTTAGGCTTTGTATGTTGTTAGTATTTTGAATTAAATTCACTGGGCAATCGGACACCAGTGGAGGGATTGGCAGAGAGGGGTGGCAGGCACTGAGCAGTTGTTAAAGTAGATGAGTCTGGCAGCAGCATTAAAGAGGGAGTAATCTATGTATGGAGACGGTAGGCCTATGGGAAGGAAGTTGCAATAGTCAAGACGAGAGATAACAAGGGAATGAATAAGTAGCAGGTGAAGTCGACAAGCTTTTGACAGTGATTGGAGTTGGGGTCGAAAGGACAGGTCAAAGTCCAGGATTACACCTAATACCCTGACATGAGTATTCATCAGAGTTAGAGGCTATAAAGTGAGCCACCTAGGGTTACCATAGTGTTTTGTTTTTGTGAACTTTATTTAAACAAATAGCTTCAATTTTAGCTTGGATCATGGTCTAGGTGATTCTATTTCTAAGCATAAGTTTTCCTATGCGGGCATCTCCAAGTGTCTTCCTCTTGGTTACAGTGTATTCAGAAGCCCAGATGGCTCCAGAGCCTCAGGGAAGCCCTCAGGTAGACTCCAGCATAAAACCTTGTGGGTATTTATATTTCAAGCAGTCAACAAGAAGACCACACATTAGAAATAAAAATGTTTGTATGAGGAATTGTCATGACTTGGTGGTGCAACATATGACAGACTCATTCACCTTTCCAACCGCTCCATCTCTGCCACCCCCCTCTGCCAATCCCTCCACTGGCTTCCGATTGCGCAACGGATCAAATTCAAAATCCTAACACTGACGTACAAAGCTGTCCACCATACTGCCCCGAACTACATCACTGACCTAATATCCAAGTACCACCCAACACGCACACTCCGCTCCTCACAAGACCTCCTTCTCTCTAGTTCCCTGGTCTCCTCCTCCCATGCCCGCCTCCAGGACTTCTCCGGGGTGTCACGCATCCTCTGGAACTCTCTGCCCCAACCCATCAGATTATCACCTACTCTCCTCTCCTTTAGGCGCACCCTGAAAACCCATCTCTTCAGGGAAGCCTACACCACCCCCTGCTAACTTGCCAACCTCCTCCACTCTTCCTACCACTCCATCCCCCACAGCTATCTCCTCCTGTACCAGTATCCCCTCCCTCCTAGATTGTAAGCTCCGAAGAGCAGGGCCCTCGATCCCCTCATGTTTTGCATTGTATTGTTGTTGTTCTGTCACATGTTCTGTCCCCCTTTGTAATGTACAGCGCTGAGCGAACCATTGGCGCTTTATAAATACTGTATAATAATAATAATAATAGTGCCCCACTACCATTGTAAAGTAGGCCCAGCATACAGCTCTTATACTTAAGCTATCACTAACCTTGAATAATCTAAGCATGAAAAATAATCTTGGAACAAAAATTAAGAAAACATTTTAATTGGTCTAAAATACTTTTTTTCTTGGCTATCTAACTATAACAGCAATTGCCTAAGATATCACATGATGCCAAGGCAAAAAACAACTATAAATCATTGTATGTGAGTTAAAAAAATCACTCATAAAATACACAAATTGAACAAAGAGCTCTATAACAATTTATTATCGTATTATCTTATATTAAATGAATTTTGGATTTGATGTAATACTATATCTGCAGTAATTGCATAGCAACAGTTCTTATATGAAGCAATGCAAATGATAAAACATAATTACTTATTGTATAATAAAGTGTATAAGCTAACTAAAACATATGGAAAAAAGGAGAGAAAAAACTGTGTACAATAGCATGACAAATTAATATGCAAGGCTAATGAATGCTTAACCTCCCTAGCGGTCTGATTATGTCCATATTTCTGTGCTCAAAGCGGTACTTTTTTTGCATGGAAATATGTATTTTTTTTATTGTAGGCCTGTAATTTTTAGGAATAACTCACTGAAATCTGTCCGAACAAGAGTCTAGTAAACATCCCGGGTATGTTACAATTTGAAACACGAAATCATAAATTATAATTTAATAAATAATCATAAAAAATAATAATATAATAATAATAAATGTAATTCAATAATATAATCAAACCAAAAACACTGAAATTTGAAATATAGCGTCAAGTTCGCACATCACTGAGCAAAGTCGCAAAATCGTTTTCAGTGTCTGATGATGAATTTCCCCCACGAATCATTATCACTCAATTCTGCAAGTGGCTCTGATTTACCATCGCTGTTCTCTAGCCGGTCTAAAACCACTTTTGACATAAAGGGACGCTTTTTGGACGCCATGAACGTTTCTCAGTTTCCAGGCAGAAAGAACAGTAAAAATGCAGGCAGGGCGCCGGACAAAGCACTCGGGACAAAATGTATGTGAAATGATTTGATACAGGAATGTTTTACTATGTGATTTTAGTGAATTTAGTGAATGTCACTTTTTGTAATTTTCAAATTTCCCGCTGTTCCATCCCCCATACGTCCCGACGTCACAGGGAACGGAACCCGGAAGACAGATGCCGGCATCCGCCAGAGAACATTTCTGGGGACACTGCAGGAGGGACATCGCGGGAGCGCAGGACAAGGTAAGTGCAGAACAGATACCAGAGCAGCGCCGCATGGTAAGCCCGAGTATAGCTCGGGGTTACCGCTTGTGGTACTAAAACTTTACCCCCGAGCTACACTCGGGAATACCGCCAGGGAAGTTAAGATATTATCAAGGAGAATCAAGTGTGTTTCAGATAGCATGCTGAGAAGAGAAGAGATCAAAGTAGTGCAGATAAGCTCATCAATATGCTACTTCTGGACGAATGGCAAAATATTTACTTGTATCTTAGTGCAAATGTTAGAGAAAATCAGTGAGCTAGTCACACAAGTAGGGATGAGCCAATGCCCTGGCCTTGACAAGTCCGTAGGATGCGGACGGGTCGTGGGCATTTTTTTTTTTTTTTATTTCAGGTATTGTCGGGACAACACTGAGTGCTATGACATTTACAAACACGGAAGAAGCAGTGTACCCCCTTATTTAAAGGAGTACCCTGATGCTAATGAGCCCCCCTGGGCCAGGGTTGTAGAAAAAAGGCCATTGTCCCCACTGAAATGTGGATAACGTCCCAATGCAGAGGGCACATGGCCTGGTAAGCTGCAGGAAGGGGGGAAACTTGGCCCATGCTCGAACCAAGGGTCTGGTAGGAATTTAGGGGGGCCCCGTGCTTTTCCCACCATTTTTGGGGGGTGGGGTTTCCCTTAAAAGTCCTACCAGGCCTAAAGAGCCTGGTATGACTTTTAGAGGGAACCCTATACACTTTATTTTCCCGGGGAGTGTATTCTCCCCTCTGTCTTCGGCGGTGTCCATCAACACACTACCAGGGGTGGACTGACAACTCATGGGGCCCCCGGGCAATAGGGCATCATGGGGCCCCTGTGTCCATGCCCAAACTCAAAAAAACCTATGAAAAAGGTACCAGGGGCATCTCATGGGGCCCCCTACTGACCCTGGGCCCTCGGGCAGTGCCCGAGTTTCCAAGTGGTCAGTCCGCCCCCCTGCACACTACACAAGGCTGCTGTGTAAGCAGCCTTATATAGTGTGGGGTGTGGACTTAGCCATGAGCCGCTGTGACTTTGGCCAATCATGCCTCATGGCTTTCACAGTGCATTGTGTTGTGACTGGCCAAAGCATTGCACCTGAGCTGTAGTCAGGTCTATTGCTTTTGGCCAATCATGGCTCTCACAATGCACTGTGAGAGCACAGTGCATTGTGGAGAGATCGGCAGGTGAACAGCCTGCTGAATGCCTTTACCGTTGTGCTCCACTAACACATGAACGGCCAATGTTCGAGTTGAACTTAGACTCAAACATCGAGCCCATCACTAGCACCTTGTCCCCATGTTGATAAAGATAAGGGTCTCTTCTCCAAAACCCTGACTGGTGGTTGTGGAAGTTTGCTGCTGGGGTGCTTCTCAGAAACAGGAAGTCCATTTAACAAAAAGAGGATACCCAGATACTGCCCCCCCCCCCCCCCCCATGTGAATGACTAGGGATACATAGTGCCCCCAGTCATTCACACAAAAAAAGTTGTAGCTTAGAAATAAAGACATTCAAATTATGAGTTGGCGTGACCAATCCCAACGCTACTATTTTATATGCTATATTAATTTATTTTCTGAAAGTAATTTCCTCTTTAAAGTTTTGGTTCCCCTGCACATTAAAGCAATAGTAAATGCTAGAGGACAACTCAAAGCAATTTCAAACAATATAATCTAACTTACTATTTGGTGTCTTCAAAACTTTTTCAAGATGCCCCATTTAGGAGATATCGCTCTCTCCTTCTGTCCATGATGTGACGCATGCATACGCATTGGAAATCCCATTAGGGGTACACTGATCGTGCCATCTATTTTTACATCAACCTGCTGCTTTTATATTTCCTTGGCACAGCTGTGAATTCCCACGATAGTTCAGAGAACTACCATTTCCTGAAATGGTTTACTTTTATTGCATATGTGCAAGATTCCAGCACTGATGCTTGAGAAAAGGCAGAAGAGTGGGAAGATAACGCTTCGCTAGGTTTCCACAAAAATGGCGACAGCTTCAGCTTGAACATACCTAAATAATATCATACTGCAGAAATTGTACGAGGAATTATATGAAGTTATAACTTATTTCTTTAGGTTCCTAACTACATTATAATTTGGCATTATGCTTGCTGCTGATTTTATTTCTTAAAGTTACTACCACTTTAACCACTTGAGCTCCAAAGGATTTACCCCCCTTAATGACCACGCCTCTTTTTGCTACTTGGCGCTGCACTAATTCAACTGATAATTGCGCGGTCATGCAATGCTGCACCCAAACTAAATTTACGTCCTTTTTTCACACAAATAGAGCTTTCTTTCAGTGTAATTTGATCACCTGTATGCTTTTTATTTTTCACGCTATAAACAAAAAAAGGCCAAAAATTTTGAAGAAAAACATTTTTTACTTTCAGCTATAAAAAATATATAGTAAACTCAAAGTTGGTTATAAATTTAGGCCAAAATGTATTCTGCTCCATGTTTTTGGTAAAAAAAATCCCAATAAGTGTATATTGATTGCTTTGTGTGGAAGTTATAGCGTCTACAAACTATGGTATAAATACTGCAATTTACGCCATTTTTCTGCTATACAGCGCTGCGCTAATTTAACGGACAATTTCGCGGTCATGCAATACGGTACATAAATGAAATTTACATCCTTTTTTTCCCCACAAATTGAGCTTTCTTTTGGTGGTATTTGATCGCCTGTGCGTTTTTTTTATTTTTTGCGCTATAAAAAAAAAGGCTGACAATTTTGAGGGAAAAAAAACAATATTTTGGACTTTTTGCTATAAAACATGTCCAGTAAAAAAAATGCAAAAATCAAATTTAGTCATAAATTTCTGCCAAAATGTATTCTCCGACATGTCTTTGCTGCAAAAAACCCAATACGTGTAAATTAATTGGTTTACGTGAAAGTTATAGCGTTTACAAATGGCGGGAAAGATACTGGGATTTTTAGGTTTTTTTTTATACTAATAATGGCGGCGATCAGCGAATTATGGCGGCAATCAGGGACTTATGGTAGCGACCAGCGACTTATGGCGGGACTGCAGGACTGCGGGACTGCGGGACTGCGGCGGACATTCTGACATTGGGGGGTACTGACTTGGGGTCACTGACATCCCCAAAAACACTAATACAGTGATCAGTGCAAAAAAAAAAAACACTGACACTGTACTAATGGCACTGGGGAGGAAGGGGTTAACTTTATTTTGCAGGGAAGGGTTATAGGAGTGAGGGGAGTGTTTTACTAGGGGGCAGGGGTGTGTGCTGGACGGGACAAGGCTGATCGAGAAAGTGAAACTGTTCTTTCTCGATCAGCTCATCCTTGAGCTGACAGGGAAGTGACAGACAGCACAGCTACTGCAGCTGTGTTGTCTGTCACTGTTTGCCGCCGATCGCCGGGAAACAGCCGGTAAGGACCGGCTGTGACCCAGCGACTCACATCTGCGGCGGTGATCGGCGGGACAGATAGGGCGGTGGCGCGCCTCGCGCGCGCCCCCTAGCTGTTTACAAAACACACATTTTAAAACGTGGTTTTGCCTGCGAGTGCCGCCCTGCCGCTGTATATCTACAGTGGCTGGGCGTCAAGCAGTTAATGTCTAAAGTCATGTTCCTAGCTTGACAGATCAAAGGTCTGTTTCAATTGTTCCTATTGCACCTTTAAAACCACTAAAACCCATCATAAATAAACTTTCCCCAATTGACTCCATTGTATTTTACTAAAATTGTGAATTTTACCAAAAAGTTCTATATTTTGGCCATATACTTTAATTTGTTGACTATTTCACCAGATCCCTCCATAAAATCCAAGTAGCCTGTGTTCCCTTTATCCACGTCTAGGTTTAATTTTCAATTTTGATTGGATTGAACCTTAAAGCATTTGCATGCGGTGGGCAGGCAGATTTTTTTTTTTTTTGAGAACAGCCTAAAACACCTTGCTTAATTAAGTCTTCTTTGTGATTCACTCGAGCAGACTGCATTCATCAACTATCATTAAGATTTTAAAGGAGATTATAATTACGTGTATTCCCTTGTCATATTTTTTAGCTAGCAGCCATGGAAAGCTTTCAATCCTCTCTCGGTAAGATTGCTTATCATAATTATATAAGCAGTATTTATGCTCATTTTGATGCAGATGGGAAACAGAAAATAGGTTTTTAAAATTTAGTAATAAGATGGATGGCCTGTTTCCTACACAGATACAGAATGAGTTGACGCATAGACATCATGTAACATTTATTGAAATGGTTCACCTCTAGGCAGCAGTTTTAGCATTTTATATCCAAAATGGTGGTGTGTTTTGTGTGTGCTTGTCTTAAGTTAAATACAGAAAGAAGCCAAAACATGTTTAACCAATAGCCGCCCGGCCAATAGCCGTTTGGCGGCCGGCAAAATGCTGTAGATTTCTGGGTGGACGCCATATGACGTACTCCCGGGCATGCGCAGTTTTTTGCACTTGCAGAGGCACGCAGCGGCGCGATCTGTCACCGGCCGTGTACCTCGGACACGGCCGATGACAGATCTGAGACCCCCGTTTCCGGTACCATGTAACCCTGCTGTGACCAATCACAGCAGGTCACATGACAGTTGTATACAATGGATGGCTTCATTCATGCCATCCATTGTATACTAGTGTCTAGCTGTGAATGGTCACAGCGATCACATGCACATGTCATGTGATTAGTTGTGGCCAAATCACAGCTAAGCACAAAAAAAAAAAAAAAAAAAAGCCTGAATGAATCGATGTCATTCAGGTAAATGCTTGCTTATAGCAAAGTAATTCTTTGCTATAAGCAAATTGTGTAAAAAAAAAAAAAAATACTGATCACTTCCCCAAAAGTAGTACAATGTTACTATGGTAACATTGTACTACTTTGGACATAGTGAAATATGAAAAAAAAATCTTAAAAAAAGAAAATAAATGTAATAAAAAAATAAAAATAATAGAAAAAATATAAAAAAAAAATATATATATTTTTTTCATACTGTCACCAGTCAGTGTCCCTGATCACCACCATGCCAGTTATATGATGACGCTGTACTGCACTGGTGACATTATGTAAAAACAAAATATTGAAAATAATGTTTTTCATTTTTTCATTTTCCAAAAAATTATGACAAAAAAATACAACTTCAAAAAACTCAGCATGCCTCTTATGAAGTACGTCGGACTGTCTTTTTGCAAAAAGGGGTCATTTGGGGGATATCTGTACTATTCTGACATTCTTGGACCTCAAGAAATTAGATTGGCCGTCAGTACTTCAGGATTGATCAATATTCAGATCTATACCATAGTTTGTGAACTCTATAACTTTTCTACAAACTAAAAAATACATCCTAATTTGGGTTATTTTCACCAAAGACATGTAGCAGAATACATCTCGGCCTAAATTTATGAAGAACAATTATTTGCAAACTTTTATAACAGAAACAAAGAAAACGTGTTTTTTTTCAACATTTTCGGTCTTTTTTTGTTAATTTTGCAAAAAATAAAAACCCCAGCGGTGATTAAATACCACCAAAAGAAAGCTCTAGTTGTGTGAAGAAAATGATAAAATTTTAGTTTGGGTACAATGTTGTATGACCGCGCAATTGTCATTCAAAGTGTGAGAGCGCTGAAATCTGAAAAATGGCCTGGGAGGGAAGGGGGTAAAAGTGCTCGGTATGGCAATGGATAAAACAAAAAAAATGGTTATTCAAAATTGTTTGTTCAGTTGATCTAATGAAACGTGCCAAATTTTATTTATTTTTTACCAGGATAAAATGAGATTCTGAGAAAGTTCAAATATCTAAACCTAAAAACAAAAAATTCATATGTTGCAACTTTCCAGTTCTGAAATGTGTTGGCTAAATGCATTTTCTTTTTTCAGTACAGAAAATACCTGTTGATTCTGCCAGAATTGCAGTGTCCTTGCCACTTCCTTGTGAGATGAAAAGAAAACACAAAGGGGTTTATTTACTAAAGCTGGAGAGTCCAAAATCAGACTCCCTTCTGCATAGAAACCAATCAGCTTCCAGGTTTCATTGCCAAAGCTTCATTGAACAAGCTGAGGTTAGAAGCTGATTGGTTTTTATGCAGAAG